TCGCGCAGAATTCAGCCTGTCTCTTATACACATCTCTGTATATACAGTATCAGACTCTGTACAGTACAAATCAGACTCTGCCGTCCAGAGAAATAGCCTCGCGCAGAATTCAGCCTGTCTCTTATACACATCTCTGTATATACAGTATCAGACTCTGTACAGTACAAATCAGACTCTGCCGTCCAGAGAAATAGCCTCGCGCAGAATTCAGCCTGTCTCTTATACACATCTCTGTATATACAGTATCAGACTCTGTACAGTACAAATCAGACTCTGCCGTCCAGAGAAATAGCCTCGCGCAGAATTCAGCCTGTCTCTTATACACATCTCTGTATATACAGTATCAGACTCTGTACAGTACAAATCAGACTCTGCCGTCCAGAGAAATAGCCTCGCGCAGAATTCAGCCTGTCTCTTATACACATCTCTGTATATACAGTATCAGACTCTGTACAGTACAAATCAGACTCTGCCGTCCAGAGAAATAGCCTCGCGCAGAATTCAGCCTGTCTCTTATACACATCTCTGTATATACAGTATCAGACTCTGTACAGTACAAATCAGACTCTGCCGTCCAGAGAAATAGCCTCGCGCAGAATTCAGCCTGTCTCTTATACACATCTCTGTATATACAGTATCAGACTCTGTACAGTACAAATCAGACTCTGCCGTCCAGAGAAATAGCCTCGCGCAGAATTCAGCCTGTCTCTTATACACATCTCTGTATATACAGTATCAGACTCTGTACAGTACAAATCAGACTCTGCCGTCCAGAGAAATAGCCTCGCGCAGAATTCAGCCTGTCTCTTATACACATCTCTGTATATACAGTATCAGACTCTGTACAGTACAAATCAGACTCTGCCGTCCAGAGAAATAGCCTCGCGCAGAATTCAGCCTGTCTCTTATACACATCTCTGTATATACAGTATCAGACTCTGTACAGTACAAATCAGACTCTGCCGTCCAGGGAATAGCCTCGCGCAGAATTCAGCCGTACCTAAAAGGTTAATGTCGTCGATAGCTTTCGCGTGCCTCTTCAATTTCTTTAATAACCTCTACACTTCCCTCTCCCTGTTTTGTGTTGCCATTTACGAAATTACATTCGAACGCGCGTCGTTTCTTCGCGCGAGCGTATTCCGCGGACAAAAACCGTCGCCGTTTTCTTGGCTCGCGTCGTCGTGTATCGAGAGGTCTCGCGCGCGATCTTCGCGAGCTTCCGAAACGAGAAACGTTTTACGTCCACGGTGAACTTTCGCGCGCGCGCGCGACGTTTTTACGACGAGAACCGTTCGAACGAAAAGCGAAGCTCGTCTGGCCTAATTACGAGTTACCGTCTCTCGAGATCAATGGGGAAAATATTTTGATAAGAGTCGAGATATCGAGAAGATTATTTTTTCAACGATCGAAACGTTACCTCGAACGCGCTGTCGGAAAGTTTTCTCATTTTTACAAAATAATTGTACATCGCGTCCGAATGAGATCAAGAAAAATATTGTAAAGTCGAGAGGATGAAAAAAATGTTACCTTTGAAACTCCTTCAGGATTACCGTAATACTTTAATCTTCTATAGTATCTTTCAGTTTTTACAAACGAGCTTTTCATAATCCCGATAAATCTGAAGTAATATAATCAAGAGCATCAAATATTATATATTATCATTAATATTATTAATTATATTATAAATATTATTATCATTAATAATATTATTAATTATATATTATAATAAATATATATATATAATAATAATAATATAAATATATTATAATAAATACATATATAATAATAATAATATTATAATAAATAATTATTATTAACTGTTCTTCAGGCACATCAGCCTGTAAGAATTTTCCAAGATATTTTCAACTGTTACAATATTAGATGCAACCAGTTATGGGAGCATCGAATATTGTTACCTTAATGATGACGTCATAGAGCCATCTCGTGGATGGCACAAGAACATTAATCATTATTTAATCCTGCGTGCCGTTGTACATTTGTTGAAAACATCCTGCAGTTTCAGAAATATCGTTGAGGAAGTAGTACAATCAAGAGAATCAAGCAATACTATTATATCTTAAAATGACGTGGGAACATTAATCACTGAACTGCGGAATTTTATGCAGAATGAAAATGTTCTCCATGGATTGCAAGAAGCAGTGTTCCCTGGTTTTCGATCAATTTTAAAGCACTGCAAACGATACGTCGACATTCTGGAATTTGTTCAAACTTTTTGCTGTTTGAAATCCGACCGTTTGGTTTTCGTCGTGAATTCATAATATCCACAGTATATATTTATTTAATATTAATAATAATAATAATAATAATAATCCACAGTGTATATTAATTTAATATTAATAATAATAATTATAATAATAATCCACAGTGTATATTTATTTAATGTTAATAATAATAATATTATTATTATTAAATAAATATACACTGTGGATTTTATGAATTCACGACGAAAACCAAACTGTTTATATAAATACGGTTTATTAAAATATTTAATAAATATTCATTGAATCCTCCGTGTCGTCGGTTCATTTTTTTTCAAAACAAAAATTTTGCAGTTTTAGATCATCTTGGTGTCGTAATCGGGATTTTAATTAAGTGTGCGCGTCCCAAGCGATTCGCAATTACAGTCGGTATTAAAGAATGATTTCACAAAAGCGCGCACGCGAAATAAAACTGACATCATGGATAAAAACGTTGCTAATCAAGACAAAAGGCACGATAGAAATATGACGATTAATTTATCCGGAAATTTCCAATGAAAGGAACTTTGCAATTCCTACGATTCCAGAATGAAAATTGTGGACCGGGCATTTTTCTACCGGAGCCCGGGTCTACTTGGACCCACGACACAAAAATCATAACTTAAATACCCAGTTTTTATCGATTAATTGAAATCTCCGCACGTATCGTCGAGGTTTAAAGGAGAACAAATGTTCTTGCAGGAAGTGTGTTAAAAACTGTACTGAAAAAATTGTCCAAATTTTCTTTTGAGGAAGTAGGGAGAAATTTTTATACGGTCTGACAAAAACAAATTACTTCAGCACCTGTTCTAATTAGATTCCCAGATTCAGGACATCGATTTTTAGACTTTTCTCGACAAAATCCACCGCAATATACGGTAATGTCTCCCTAACTGACGCTCAGATCGTGCACAAAAATGGACAATTCGAGAAGAGGAGATACGATTGTTCGAGCCTTGCGGCTCGTTTTTATACTTCTTGACAATTCGTGACTATAAAAATGAACCGCAAGCATCGAATACAATCGTATCTCCTCTTCATAAATTGTCCATTTTTGTGGACAATCTTAGCGTCAATTAGGGAGACATTACTGTATTTCGAACACGTAACTTTATACAGTAAATTCTCCCTAATTGGCGCTCAGCTTGTACACAGAAATGAAACAATTTTGAAAGAGAAGCTACGATTAGTCGAGCCTTGCGACTCGTTTTTATAGTTACCGATTGTCAACGATTATAAAAACATAGTGCAAACTGTATTGAAAAAATTGTCCAAATTTCCCTTTGGGGAATTAGGGAGAAATTATTATACGCGGTCTGACAAAAACAAATGACTTCAGCACTTGTTCTAATTAGATTCCCAGATTCACACAGGACATCGATTTTTTGTCTTTTCTCGACAAAATCCACCGCAATGTACGGTAATGTCTCCCTAACTGACGCTCAGATCGTGCACAAAAATGGACAATTCGAGAAGAGGAGATACGATTGTTCGAGCCTTGCGACTCGTTTTTATACTTCTTGACAATTCGTGACTATAAAAACGAACCGCAAGGCTCGAACAATCGTATCTCCTCTCCCTAAATTGTCCATTTTCGTGCACAATCTGAGCGTCAATTAGAGAGACATCACTGTACACTGAAAAGAAAAAAAAATATAGAAACCCCCGAAGGAAAAGTCGAACCAAAAAGCTTGTTCAAATAAACAGATAGACAGATAAACGATTCCGAAGCTTGCACAACCACATTTTTCCCTCCGAAAAAAAATCCGCTACCATCAATTAACATCCCGCCACTGATGTACTCTCGAAAGGTGTGAAATATCGTCTACCTCGCTTCGCCGTTCGAGATCGAGACAAGGTTGCGCAACGTGTACGCCCAGAAACCGCTAAAATCGGGCGAGAAGCAACTGGTGTTACCTTGAAGACGCCACCGGCGCGTCAGTAACGTCGTAAAAGGAGGAATTGGCCAGGCGCGAGCCCCTGGCTGGTAGATCGCCAGCTCCGCACGAGCGTGTCGACTGTTGCGGCCGCGTTTTCCGGGCCCGTTTGCAACCCTAACCGCGTACAAAATCCGCCTAGGATCTCTCCCCTTGCACCCCGCTCTCTCTCCCCGTGATCTCACTGTCTCTCGCTCCGCGAAATATCGTCGCTCGACCTTCGACGGCTAAGGTCGAGTGGGGTCGGTAGCTCTAAGCGAAGCTCTAAGCGAAGCTCTAATCGATCGCGAAGATCGACTCGTGTGGGCATCGATCGCGAAAACAAGAGGCGGTGCCGGCGGATTCTCGCGGCGAAACTTTTTTCTTGGCAAGATCCCTGGATTTCGTGTGGAGTTATTCTTGGCACGATCGTCCATGACGATGACGAGCGGCGTCGACGAGGTGGTGGCCGCAGACTGAAGGAAGACAGTAAAGCAGTCCGGGACGGTTATTCGGTTCGCCAGCGACAAAGTCGAGGGAGCGCCGAGTTCGCGCGGCGTCGCGGTCAAAGGTCGGCGATCGTGCACCGTCCTCGTCCTCGTCGTCGGAGAGTCCCGGGATATCGTTCCTTCGGCAGGACACGATGACCGGAGCTCGCTGGACCGCGGATCTCCCCTCGGAACCGATCCGATCCGTCGAACTGTCGTCCGTCTTCGCGGCAGAAGTTGTGCGGAGATAGCATTCCCGAGCGGACACACCGGGTCTGCCGTCCGCGATGGTCCACAGGACTCGCTCTTCTTCGTGTTCTCTTCGTCCCGCCGTCCTCGATATGGTATCCGGGAATCTCGGTGGTCGGTGCGTCGATGTCGCGAAAACGTGCCAGCATTCTAACGCGCCACTTCGCTGTTGATTGTTTACGCGCGACTTCGCCGAGTTGTGCGCGCACCTGTGTGCCGATCGTGGGATACAAGGGAATTCCGTGAAACGTTCGTGTGTGTGTGTGTGCTCTCTGGTGAACGCGGGGGAGTCACGGCGCGAGTTTCTTCACGGTTCTCGTCGGAGAGCTCGAAGCGAGCTCGGTGCGCCGATTTTACGTGCCGTATGAATTTTTACGTTCTCTGGAAGCTGCGCGGTTTTCTTTGTCGTGAGTTGATTTGGAACAATTTGTTCGATGAAGCGTCGGTTATGCACGGTACGAATTTTTACGATTTCTGAAAGCTGCGCGGTTTTCTTTGTCGTGAACTATTTTTTGAACAATTTGTTCAATGAAGCGTCGGTTATGCACAGTACGAATTTTTACGAATTTTTACGATTTTTAGAAGCTGCGCGGTTTTCTTTGTCGTGAACTATTTTTTGAACAATTTGTTCAATGAAGCGTCGGTTACGCAAAGTACGAATTTTTACGTTTTCTGGAAAGCTGCGCGGTTTTCTTGAACTGTTTTGGGGGAACAACTTGTTCGATCAAGCGTCGGCTAATTAGAGAATCGTGTAAGAATTTCACGAATTTAATTAATTTCCTCGTATAATTTCACACTGTAAACGCTGTAGATTTGAGAAGAGATGGCGCGATCGGCTTTCAGTGTCCGGACGTTTTTTGATCGACGATTTTTATCGAACCTGAAATGCACCGTTATTCGACAATTCGGAGTTTCATTAATTAATATTATGTTCCAAATATATTCTTGAAAATGCTCGCGAATGTTTCAAGGAAACATTTCGTGACGAAGAGGAGGTTGTTCGCGAAAGAATTTCACAATCGTTTCGATGAAGAGATCTCGAAGCTTGCGTGCGATCAAAAGTTAAAGAAATTACCATACGTCAGGGCAGTGGACCAACTGTCAATTACCTGTCACATAGCTCACCTATTGGCAAGAAGCGTGCGTCTATTTATAAGTTATAGCTGGTTGATGCACGCGAAACATTCATCTCGCTAATTTCAATATTGTCACATAATGATACAAACAGTTTAATAAATTCTACCGTGCGCATAATTCACTGGGAATGAGTTCGTTCGCAATGAAAATCGTGCGAAACGAAATTAAAACGTCAGGTTTCACGCGATACGGAGTACGTGGCGATGTATTACGTAGCGTTACGTTGAAAAAGAAGAAAAACGAAACATAAAAATCAATTCAATCGAACGAAAAACGATGCGAATTCGCTTTGATTCTCACGGCGTTGTCGAGTTTTATTTATTGGAAAAGAAATGAGTCGATGAGAATAAAAATCGGTGCGTCGAAAGCAGTTTCGAAACGTGTAGAATATTAACAAATTCGAGTGTTAATTATACGGTGATAACGAACTAATTTGAGAGTTTTATTTATTCGAAAAGAAATGAGTCGATAAGAATAAAAATCGGTGCGTCGAAAGCAGCTTCGAAACGTGTAGAATATTAACAAATTCGAGTGTTAATTATACGGTGATAACGAACTAATTTGAGAGTTTTATTTATTCGAAAAGAAATGAGACGATAAGAATAAAAATCGGTGCGTTATTAACAAATTTGAACGTTAATTGTACGGTGATAACGAACTAATTTGAGATTCATGCGATCACACGGCGACTATGATGCTCGCGAATTGACACAATTGGAACGAAGCTAAACGCCGGGGATTCGACGCCACGAAAATCCACGCGTTTCGTGGATTTAGCAAGCCAACAGGGGACTCTTTGTCAACGAAGACAGTTGATTTACAGGGCTTATAATATTGGACATTTGCCGCGAATCAATTAACGTATCATCGGAATCGTGGAGAGACGACTATCCTTGGACGCGATAAACAGTGTGTCAAGTTCTATCTTGGAACCGTCCGCGAAACTCTGTTCGCTAGACTGAAATTTACCCCTGAATCGAATTCTTTGATCTGGTTCCATTATGAAACAAACGGGAATAGAAAAGATTATTTTCAGCGTCGCTCGATCTAGATAGTAATTAACTCGAAACGTTCGGGCAAATATAATGCGTTGGATATCGAGTCGTGGAATCAAACGGAAACGTTCGATTCCGGAATTAATTAGATTGCAGTGGGATAAAGGTCTCGTTAAATTTAACCAAACCTTTTCTATATCGAGTTCCATGTAATTGCGTGTGCTGTTAACGCGTCAATGTTCCATTTGCAATGTCCCGTAATTACGTTAACCCTGGAAAGGAGTGATTCCTAAGGTCATTTCGAGTAACTTTTTCCTTAGCGAAAATGCAATCCGCGGCTTTGTTTACGAGTTATTAACGAAAAACACTGACCAATGAGAGGCAAGTCGGCTGGCGCGTGGCGACCGAGCCAACGAGCGGTCGGAGCCCAGTTGCGCTGATTGGCTCGGCAGCCTAGCGCTAGGCGAGCCGCCTCTCATTGGTCAGCGTTTTTAGTTAATAACTCGTAAACGAAGCCACGGACTGCATTTTCGCTCAGGAAAAAGTTACTTCAAATCACCTCAGGAATCGCCCACTTCCAGGTGTTAATATAATTGTGGGACGCCCTGTATAAAGTTTCATTCATATTTAAGGTACAATATAACAAAGCTCGTGGACTTATAAACGTATAAAGCATATCTGAAAATATTATCAAGCACGACAAAGTAATGATATAAATGGCCTTGCTTTTTTACTTTCCAAATGTAGAATCAGATAAAATTCTGAAATACGATCGAGTAATTACAATAAATTCTCCCCCACTGACTCTCAGATTGTACACAAAAATGGACTATTTGGGAGAAGGAGATACGATTATTCGATCCTTGCAGCTCGTTTTCATAGTTATTGACAATCGGTAACTATATAAACTAGTATTATAAATAACATAAATATTATATTAATATATAACATAATATTATATTTATAATAACATAACATAATATAATAACATAATATTATATTTATAATAACATAACATAATATAATAACATAATATTATATTATAATTATAACATAAATATTATAACTAATAAATAATCGTATCTCCTGTTCCCAAAATATCAATTTTTGTGTACAATCCGAGCATCAATTAGGAAGAATATAACCGTATTTCACTTCTACGCTAAATCTCTTAGCCAGTGGAGAAAATACTTCTTTCTCGGTCTCATCGTTCGTGAACTACGCGCGTCGCGTACACGAAAAACCACCACACGCGAACGGTTCTTGTTTTCTTAATTCGCTCTATACAGTATGCGAAATTACATTTCTCGAACCAGGTATACAAAACGATATAATCTCCTCTTCTCCCGTCGCGAGACCGAAATTGGAGAGCGTTTCTCGCGTCCTTCTCGGCTCATCTTTTAAATTGACCCATTTCAGCTTGTATTGTGCCGCGCGGATACACGCGTAATTGGAAAACTGATTACCAACTAGACCCAGCAGAAATCGATTCGTGACAGTTCTTTTTCTTCTTTTTTTTACGTATCCGCACTTTCTTAATTCTATTACGTGATTCGATTCCACTCGGAGGGAGAAGGTACCGTTTCGGGTTGGAAAGTAGGGAAACGTAATTTTCTCGTTCGAGGGGGGCGAGTTCGCCCGACAGCTTCGACGTCCATTAGAATTCTCAAGCAAGCGAGGACTATCAAAGAACGCCTGTAATCTTTTTTTTTCTCCGTTCTCATTAGCGTCGCAGTCGACGAATTTCCTATGAACCCGAGAGAACGCTGCGCGCCCACGTGTACCGAACGAAATACGCGAGAATATTTCACGATCTCAATACTTCTCGTCGATGAGTAAAAATAGACCACGAATAATCGACGAATAAAGTCCGCAAAAGCGCTGCGATTTAAAATACTGCAATTGAAATGCTTTCAGTTTCGTGTAAAAGTCCACGCTTTACGTTCTCGAATCGATTCGGAGAGGTCTTGCACAATGTTGCGTCGCGGATCAATCGCCGAAATAAAGTCTATGGAACATTTATACTGTTGGGATTATGGAATGAAAAATGAATATGATCCTAATTCTTTTCTTAAAAAGACTTTATTTTATTCCTTTATTGAGAGAAGGTATATGGGCGAAAACGATCGAGCGACCAAACTCTACTGAGAGTCCGGTAAGAAAAAACGCTTCTTTTATACCCTTCTTGGGTTCGTCTTATCCACCAATCAGGGACGTTTATTTGTCGCGTTTCACATTGTATACGTGACGCTGGGATCCCCAAACAGTCAGGGCACGATGTGTATCTAATGGTACCGGTGATGATGTATCGCGGTATCTATTATATACAGTTTACATCACCGTCGTTGCCCGCTGACGGAACCGACGAAAATGTAAACCGATATCTTAGTATCTTAGTACTAAGTAAACTATAGATTAATTTTTGTTCGAGGCTAAAATTTCCTTTTTTTTCAACATATACGAACGTTGAATGCTGGGAAACGGTGGATGTTTTTTTTTTTTTAAATATGCGGCAGAAGACGGCCGAATTCCGCGAAGAATCGTCGTTGCCCGTAACGACGAAGAAGGTGATCGAAGAGCCCGCGTTCTTTTCTCGCGACGATCACTCGGGACTGTGTGAGCCGAGCTGCTAGTGAGGCAAAATCAATCACAAAGTTCGAGGCGATGTCATCGTGGAAAGGATGGACAATTTGGCCAAAAGTCCGGCTACGAGTAATAATAACAGTGCGAGATAATGTTGGCCCTGCACTATTATTCGAACTGTAAGGCAGTTCGCGCCACGTTGAGCCGAGTTTCGTCCGCTTGGTGGAGCCAGGACGACGAGCCTATTTACTCGAAGGATCTCATCAAGGAATTCGAGGTGGAGAATCCGCCGCTCGAGGCCGAGCTCGCTTGGATCCTTAAAAAAGGTACTTCGGGGACCGAGTTCGCGAAACAAGCGACGCCCGCGAGATCCCACGCTCTCGCGTCGATCGAAACGATCACGAATTCGAATTCGGCTGAAATTCGCATCGTCGACGAAACCGGATGTCCTTGAACCTTCTATATGAACGAATCCTTTTGACGATTCCGTGGCAAGCATGGCCAGAGAGAGAGAGGTCCATCCGAGCTCGCGTACATTTTGCAACCTGTTTCCTCATGATCGATATACTGTTCTCTCTTACTGGAACTAAAATCGAGACAGTGATTTGAGACTCGTTGCTAGAAAATTAGATTTTTCAAAGGATTAAACCTTTGCACTCGAACGGCGAGTCTGAGGCGCCGCTAACTATAATATTGAGGCACCTGCTATATAATATTTATAGCTAATATAAATAAATAATATAAAAAATATATTATTTATTTATAATATAAATATAAATCTAATAATATAATATAATAATATAAAAAAATAGCCAAATATATATATATATATATTTGGCTATTGTTTAGCTAAAAATTGCTACATAATATTTATATATATAATTAAATATATATACCTAATTATATATTTAATAGCTAATAAAATACGTATATTTGGCTATTTTTTTTAGCTAAAAATTGCTACAAATATTAGCTATTAAATATATAATTAGCTATATATATTTAATAAATTTGTTTATATTCAAAGAATCTACGTTAAAAGTGTAGTTATTGTACGAGTGCGAGTAAACTGACTTTCATATGCAAACAATACAAAAATAATGCAACATTGGAAGAAATATCTTAGTTTTGAAACAGCTTCGAGTGCAAAGAGTTAATACTTACGCGTTATTTTTAAAACGAATCTCGTCGAAAAAACTCACACAATTTTTCTTGTCCCATAAAAATATGCGGTATTGCTTTTAATGAGTTTACACGTGTCCGTAGATTATTGTATTTCGTTCGTTACGTTTCAATTCGTGCACGGTTTCGTAGAGAGAAAGAGAAAGAGAAAGAGAGAGAGAGAGAGAGAGAGAGAGAGAGAGAGAGAGAGCGAGAAAGAGAGCGCGAGAGAGAGGGGGGGGGGGGGGAAAAAAGGGGGGGAAA